TGTATCATATGAAAAAGAGAAGACCATTTTATAATATTGGTATTATTAATGTACATTGTATTTATTATATTGTTACAGAGACATCCATACTACGTCGCAGGCTGTAATAATAGCTTGATATCCTCAAGAACAGATTTGTATGATTTACTTGTAAATATTCCCGCCAGAGAAATCACTGTGACTTCACATGCAAAAGGTAGAATAGTTAGAAACAAATCTTACTTATTAGAGTGATATCATCTGATATCGTTATTTTTGTTAGTAATTTTCAAATTATATGTTCCAGAAAGCCTTACAATGACGAAAACTCACAAGGAGATAGCCTTGTTTATGGTCCAGTTGTGTGAAAATCAAAATTATACAGAGGCGCAAATTATATCCGAGATAAGCGACAAGACGCAGGATCTCCTGAATCAGCTGACATCACTGGCAACAGTGCAAGCTCCAGATGGCAGGAAGATGATATCCGTGGAGATATTTAGGGAAAAGAACTTGGCACCGGCCGTAGAAAATTTCCTTATTAACTTGGCCATTGCGGAGAACCTATTTATGTTATAATATGTAAAGTGTCTATATTTTGTACACTCGCGGACATAATAGTAAGTGCCCATTTTTTGCAATTTTCGGAACGCATCCCGACTCGAGAAGAATGAGAGTCACTGCGGAGCACGCCTGCGCAGTGACTCACAACGAATGGCGAGAAATTAAATATACGTGGTGGGACATATTGACTTGTGCATTCGTTGCAGCTGGTGATTCATCTCGTCCATCTTTTTCAGAAGACTTTAAAGTGGAAGTCATATCTTAAAACGATATCTCACGTATCATTTCCATGCTTGGGTGGAAAGGTAAATATCTATAATTATGTTTTATATTGTAGATACTGTGTGGAAGATATGAAAACAAGAACAGAAACGAAGAGAAAAAATAAAAAGAAGAGAAAAAACGTGAGGAGGAGACAGAAGAATATTTAGCCAGTCTATGTATTTGGTTTGGTATCCATATTTGCATCATAAATTTCATCCTCTCCATCTCCTTCCTCTTCCATGTCCATGTCTGTATGTCCCAAAAATTCAAAATTCGCTATAACAGCTGCTTCTGTACCTAATATCATTGCTTCTGTTATAGAAGCTATGGCTGTTGCTGAAACAATAAATCACATATAAATGTATAACAGAATCGTAACTATCGTAATGCAGCTTATTTCTCTTAATTAAATTCGTATTATTTTAAAAACATAAACATGTTTATTTATCTCTACCTTTCTCGGATATTTTCTCCGGAGTATAACACTTATATCGGATGATTTTTGTCTGTTCTGTGTTCCCTCATTTCCATTTAATGCTGGAGTATTCATTTCATCTGAGTCTGTATTATTCAAACCAAGCAGTGATCGCACTCTGATCATACATCTATAATTGTGTCAGTATACCCAATTTCTTGTAAATATCTGCAATAAAACAGTTTCTTTTATATTCTAGTTTTGTACAATGAAGTTACATGCTTGTTTTTCAACGATCTCCAATTTTATGTAGACTGGCTAAACATTCTTCTGCCTCCTCCTCACGTTTCTTCTCTTCTTTTCCTTTCTTCTCTTCGTTTCTGCTCTTTTTTTCATATCTTCTTCATTATATTTTCCTACTTCCTTCTTCTCAAGAAGTACTTTGACACACAGTATCTATAATATAAAACATAATTATAGATATTTACCTTTCCACCCAAGCATGGAAATGATACGTGAGATATCGTTTTAAAATATGACTTCCACTTTAAAGTCTTCTGAAAGAGATGGACGAGATGAATCATCAGCTGCAACGAATGCACAAGTCAATATGTCCCACCACATATATTTAATTTCCCACATTTCATTGTGAGTCACTGCGCAGACGTGCACAGCAAGCGAAGCAGTGACTCTCATTCTTCTTGAATCGGGATGCGTTTCGAAAGTTACAAAAAAACGGGCACTTACTATTATGTCCGCGAGTGTACATTAATTTATACATACCCAATTAATAACTTGTAAAAACCTTGATCCGTTTAATATAAAAATTACACACATATGTAAACACACAGACACACACACACATAATACAAAATATTAAATCTTTCCATCAATTTATTTACACATTTCATTTCCTTTTATTACATTTCTATTTTATTAAATTTTAATTTCCATATATTATATGCGTTGCATTGTTTTATATCGTGTTACATTGTAACATTATATTGTAAATCACATATTATAAATATCATATATGTGCGTGCGTGTTACTATAATACATTGTAATAAAAGAACAATACGGAATAAAATTACGTTAGATGTGAAAAAAGCATTTCTCTATTTGCGTTACTTCTTCGTCCATCCTATTTTCCTGATACCAAAACGCGAAACCGAGAAAAATTGTAAATTTTTTTAATTCCCGCCAGAATTCCAAATACCTCTCCGCACCTTATGTTCTCCTAATACCAAAACGCGAAAAACGAGAACCTGAGTAAACTTGTAAATATTTCAACTTTCCCGCCAGAATTCTGAATACCACTTTGCACCTTATGTTTTCTTTATACCAAAACGCGAAACTGAGAAAATTTGTACATTTCTAAAATTTCAGCCAGAATTCCGAAAACCTCTTTGCCCCTTATATTTTCCTGATACCAAAACGCGAAAATCGAGAAATTGAAAATATTTGTGAATATTTTAAATTTCCCGCCAGAATTTCGAATAACCCTTTGCACCTTATGTTCTCCTGATACGAAATCGCGAAAAGCGAGAAACTGAGAAAACTAGTAAATATTTCAACTTTCCCGCCAGAATTCCGAATACCTCTTTGCACCTTATGTTCTCCTGATACTAAAACGTGGAAACTGAGAAAACTTGTAGATTTCTAAAACTCCAGCCAGAAATCCGAACACCTTTTTGCCCCTTATGTTCTCCTTATACCAAAATGCGAAACTGAGAAAACTTGTAGATTTCTATAATTCCAGCCAGAATTCCGAACACCTCTTTGCCCCTTATGTTCTCCTGATACAAAAACACGAAAAGCGAGAAACTGGGAAAACTTGTAAATATTTCAACTATCCTGCCAGAATTCCGAATACCTCTTTGCACCTTATGTTCTCCTTATACGAAAACGCGAAACTGAGAAAATTTGTAGATTTCTAAAATTTCAGCCAGAATTCCGGAAACCTCTTTGCCCCTTATATTCTCCTGATACCAATACGCGAAAATGGGGAAAACTGATTTCTCCATGTGTTTTATTTCGTCGCTCCCTGCGGGCTTACTATCAAAGCTAGTGAGGCTGCAGGGCCTCGCCGGCGCGAGGTGCTGCGGCCGAGCGTTAGGGTCGCGGCCCTGCGGCTGGTATTGGCTTGTGTTGTTTTTTCCCTCACCTAGCATTGGCAATAGTTGCTCGCTGTATTATAATGAGCGTAACTAATTACATCTGTATTATCATTGCTCTTTAATTATCTCTGAGCCCCTTTATGCCCCTTTACTTAATACGAAAATTTAGATAGGGTTGTCAGTCTTTATATTACCTCGCCGGTGGTATCATCGAATTCTAGAATTTTCCAAGAAGTTCTAGAAACTTTCAGAATATTCTGGAATTTTCAAGAAAATTCTAGAATCTTCTAGAACGTTCTAGAATTTCCGACATCGTTGACCGACTCGCTCGCCTTGTGTCGGCGCCGCGGCCTCACTAGCTTCACTACCAGCCGCAGGGCCGCGTCTCCGTAGCCGTCGCTTTGTCGTCTAGCCCAGTCGACTTGGCCCAACGGTCTCAATAGCCCCGCCACCATGTGGATGATATTTTAGAAAATTCTGGAACGTTCTAGAAGATTTTGGAACGTTCAAGAAGATTCTAGAAGCCACGTTATCGAAGCTACCGCGTGGACGTAAATGATGTGGATGAAAATAATGTGTAACTTTCTTCTACTATGCAGTACATCAGAAACTTTAAACTCTTTTTTGTTTCGCAAATGCTTGAGTGTGGCGTTAAGCAGTGATGAGCATTCAGTGACGGGCTTGCCGCCGATATCAGAAGTGGCGAGATAAAACACGAGTAGCAGGGAGATAAAATACGAGTAGTAATGCATTGTTCTTCCTCTTGCCGCGCGCTGATAACAGTCGCTACATCGAGTGGGCCGCGCTTGGCTCGAGTGGCTTCGTTGCTTTTTCGATACCGGCGCGTGCTTATTCGTTACATTTCTGTAATTAATAGTTCGGTTGTTGCGAACATCGCAAAATAGTATGGAAATTTTATATTTATCTTAATCCGTTCTATGTTTTCATGTATTCCTCGGAGCGAGGAATTTGTGAAACACTCGGTATATATGTGTTTCGGATTGAAATTTTAATATTATTTCAGCTTCCAATTATTAACTTAAGAATGCCAACATGTGTATATATTTAAAATAAAAATTATTCTAAATTTTCTCACGGCTTGCAATCCTAAGAGACATACATACATACCCAGACAGCACACGGTTGTCCATTGGACGTCCGTTATATGTCCATTTTTTATACAAAAGACGTCCATAGGACGTACGTTTGTCACAACTTCGGACATAGGACATTCGATGGACGTCCTACAGGTCCGATGTCCAATAAGGACATGCTTGTTACGTCCAATTTATGTCCACGGACGTAAATTGGACATAAATTGGACGTGAAACGTACATCCATTGGATGTCCGGTGTTGTCTGGGTATATGTTCGGCCCGTTTTCTGTATTAATAGTCTTTGATATCTTCCGATACTTTATTCCCATTATTCCATATTTGTTACCATCCATGCTTATTTCGAGCTACGAGCTACGTATGTTTCATATTTCGGCCACGATGTTCCTAAGAGGGCGCTAGTACACAGCGAAATTTCTCTGGTACGCTAAATCCCGTAAGGCCAACAGTCTTTATAGTATCTCGTCGGTGGTGATATTATCTCGTCAGAGTGCCGAGGAAGTGGCATCAACATTTTAAATTTCCCGCCGTAATCCCGAAAACTGTCGGTATTGTTATCACTCCTAAATTATCTCCGGGCCCCTTCAGGTACAAGGTTTTGTCCAGGGCTGACAATTTTTAGCATTACCTGGTTGGTGCTCACAGATATCCCTTTTGTTCAGCCGGCAGACCTACAGATGGAGCCACGAGTCCATCGCAGAGACGAATATGTGAAAACTGAATGAACGAACTGCGATCAGAGATTGATGGTTCTCATCGAGACGGTTTCAACGATGGATAACATATGGAATCAACTGGGTGATTATGACAATCAAAATGGTCACAGCAAGGTTCGATAAAGTGGCTGGCCATCTCACGCGGTCGTGCCCAGAATATTTACTTGTTTTGGACCATTCAAATGGTCGGAGGAATATCGGGGTATGTAGCAGTAACAGTAGAATAAAACAAAATCATAATATGCGTACATAACTAACACAATTATATTTATATATTACAATATAAAATTTGTTTAGGAAACCTAAATTCGGAAACGTTTTCTCCTTCTCTTTCTCTCTTTTTCATTTGCCTAGCGCGCGTGTGTGTCGGGATCGCGAAGCCTCGAATGTTTCGACCTGCACGCGTCTCAATTAAAAAGTCACTTTTAGCACGAAAGGAAAAAAAAAAGAAAAATGATGATGAAATGTAAAATTAAAGAAAAAAAAAAACAACGAGGAATACATTCCAAGCGTGTCTTCCACGCCGAGGCGCGAAGAGAACTTCGCTTTGCGACTAAAAAGAACTCGCGCTCGAAAGACAGACGTGAGACTTTTCGCAAAAAAAGCTTTTATTTACATTTGTTTCACGGTTCGTTTAGCGCCTAGGTAAATTTATAATTGCAATAAAATCCCACACACAAATCGATCTCGCACTCACACCGATCACTTGTGGAATGTGTCTCGCATTAATAAATACAGCTTCTGAGATAAATTAAAATATAAGTCTTGCGCAAGTCTGTTTCTCCCCCTGTTCACTTTCTTGCTCTCTCCTTCGCTCTTCCCTTCCCGTCTTCTTTTCCTTCTCCCTTTTTCTTTCTTTTTTTTTTACAACCGAGAGGCATGTAAATTCCAATGCGTCGGACAGAAAACCGGAATCCTGGATTCCATCGTAACAGTAGATTCACTCACGGCGAGCCCGTACACCTTATTTACAATGTTCATATATAAACATATACATTGCGACCGCTTAAACCTATCGATATACCAAGTGAAAGGTAAAAAGTACTATTTTGTACCTTAGACTGTCTGACAAATAAAGTTAAAATGCTGGCCTGTGTGTGTCTGTGTGACGTTAAATCGCACTTATGTCAATCTATTCTATAACGGGTAATAGCGCGTGTGTTCTTCTCCCTCTTCCTCTTCTTCCTCTCTCTCCTTTCCCAGCTGCTCCTCGTTCCGAGTGTCTCTCTTGTTACTTTTCCCTTCGATTCGTTAAAACGCAAGAAATCATGAAATTTGACACGAGAGTCTTGCGACTCGCCTCTTGACAACTTAACGGTTAAAAACTTAAAACACTAAACCTGCGGAATTCTCTTAATCGCTAGTCTTAGTTGTCGCTAACTAAAATCGTACTAAATCGGACTGGCTGATAAATTATCGTCGACTGTACAAACGCCGCTTTCAACTTGATAAAGGATCACATCACGTAGTAAGTCTCGGAACGCACACCCGTGTTGGAGTCGAGAGTCGCGGAGGAGCGTCTTCTTCCGAGAGTTTCGTCGGTGTGTTTTGCGTTCAGTTTTCTTTTTCTTCTTCTAGTTTGGACCTCGCGCGCGCGCACGCGATTTCTCGTAAAAAATATACACCTCTTGCCGGTCGCGTGAAGCTGCCTGCGATGATGACTGTGACACGGTGACGATGATGGCGATGGCGATGGCGATGACGATGACGACGGTGGCAGAAAGACAGTCACATTGAATCCACGAAAAGTCTCAACGAAAGAGACAATAAGTATCGGTCGGGCGGTCTCACTCGAGCGGCGGTGCTCCGACGACTTATCGTACCGAGACTACACGGTAAAACAACGAACTTTAGGATTATCAAAAGTGCCATTCGTCGCAAGTCTCGCTTTCTCCATCTATCACGCGATAGCGAATAACAACTAGCAACACTTGTTCTCTCTCTCTCTCTCTCTTTCTTTCATTGCCAAACAACAACAAGTCGTGAATGTGTCTCGCGAGACGAGATTAGAACAGACTTGAGGGTCCCCCTTCCCCTTCCTCCTCATCCAAATACGTTCCACAGCCGGCGGTATTCGGTGTACCTCTAATAGTTTGAACGTAAAAACCGAACGGAAGCGTTTCTTCCCTCTTTCTCTCTACGTATCTCGCGCGTGTGGAGACGCACTACTATTCTCACCTCTGGCTAGCTCTTGCCCCTCCCTGCCTCCCTCTCTCTCTCTCTTCCTTCGTCAATCACATGAATCTTAATAAGTACCAAGTGCCCTAGTGTAAGATCAAGTTTCGATATACCCTGAAACTACCCACATAACCAGGTAGAGGAACCCCAAAAACGAGTTCGCCGTATACGTTTTACTCGCTTTTCCTTGTTTCTTCTTTTCCTTTTTTTTCTTCGCTTATCGAGAGGATTGAAATAAATATATTTATTTAGATGTCGCACGGCGGAGGCTTGGCTCGGACGTCGATGCGAAAGCGGTAGAACGGGAATGGCAATTAGGTGTCTATACACAAGGACATATCTTACATAGAGAGAGTTACGCGAGATAAAATTAGTCTCTCGAGTTTAGACCGAGCTTTGCGAAGGGCGACGACGATATCCCGCGAGTGTCGATATATACTATGTGTCTCACCGACGACGATCAATTACGTCTGCAACAGAACAGGACAGGATGGTTATGAGAATAACTCGTGCATCACTCGTGCATCCGATCGAACAGCGCGGGCGGCGTGTCGCTGCTGCCAACAAAATCATCTCGTTCGCCGATATGTTTACAAATTCCCTCTCTCTCTCTCTCTCCCTCTCTCTCTCTCTCTCTCTCTCTCTCACTCTCTCTCTCTCTTTCCTCGTCTATATATATATATTTTTTTTCAATTATAATCTCAAACGTTTCGAGGGGCCAAGACGCGCCCTGGCCGAGACGTTTGGATCGCAATCGAAAGAGGAATACTTCGCGGTAACAATTGCCCTAGTGAGAAACGTTGTGCACGCGACACGCAACAACACCGAGGCTTGATACAGGCCCGCAAGATGGAACAAGACCCCTCCCTCCCCCCGCTGCCTCAACAAGAGTGATAGACGTAATTTTACTTTCGCTGTGACCTACCGAGTCAAGCGAGGAATCGCGTTCTATCTTGATCGCGCGGGTTTGTTGGCACAGCCCTTTACGTGTTGTTATAAAGCTGATGGTGGGTCTGATGTTGACTCGGATGCGAGTGCTGGTGCTGGTGCGGATGCTGATGCTGCTGCACCGTCGGATGCCTCGCGTTGTACCTGACGCTGCCGGCGAGCGAGCTACCCCTGCCGTGAGTGCCGACCATGCTCTGCGTGTCGGACAGCTCGTCCTCCTCCGCGCCCAGGCTCCGGAACCTAACGAAACCATCCTCGGCGACTAGCATCGTCGAGCCGCTGGTCGGAGCCTGCTCGTGTAGGCCTCCTTGAACGGGCGTGTGCCTGCCGCGAGTCTCGGAGCTCCTCAGGGTCTGTATGCCATTACCGTGGCGACTCAGGGAACCCCGGCCTTCGTGAGGAAAGTGGCCCATCGTACCAGACTTGCGAATGGAATGTCTCTCGAAGGTACCTACGTGACAAACACACGACACCGTCAATTTCCCTTTTGTCCAAAGATGAATGTCGGCAGAGTCGGGCCACCCGCCGACGTTACGCTACCTTGTTTCTCGCTCTCGCACACGTTGTCGCGCGATGGCGCACACGTGCCTTGGCACAACACGACCGACACGCGTGCGAAAAACATGAGTTTTACGAGAGTCAGACGAGAGAAAGCGCCTCGTGTCGCGAGGCGCAAACAAAAGCTTCCCGGATTCCCGGAAGGGAAAGGTAACGAAAGTCCAGATACCTGATATGTTCAAGTGCTCGGGCAGGGTGTTGAGCGGGAAGCTGTCGTCGTAGACCTGCTTGCCCGTCCGCATGGTGTAGTTCTGTATCGCCTGGTTGGTGCTGCATATCGCCGGGTACAGCACGTCGTCCATGTTCTCGGTGGACGTGGAGCTGCCGCATGGGAAGAGGGCGAAGCCTGAGTGGGCCGAGTGTTGCTGCATCTGCTTCTCGCGTAGCGGATACTGCGACAGACTGGCGACCCAGGCGAGGAGGCCGCACACCGACAGCTCCAGCACCCTGACGGAGAACTGCCAGCCCCACCAGAGCCACGGATACGCCTGCGGCCGCTCTTGGACGCCGAATATCCCGTAGAGCTGCACGAGGCCCATGAGAATGAAGAGCAACGCGATGGCGATGGTGGTGGTGATGGCGGTGCTGAGGGCCACCGTGGTCGGATCGGCGCCGGCCATCATGTGATTCGCGCCGGCGGCCTTGTTGCTGGCCACGTGGATCTGCGAGCGCACCACCCGGTACACGTACACGTAGCACAGGCCCAGGGTCACGCACACGACGACGTAGATGCACTGGCAGACGAGCGGCAGGATCCGCGCCTCGTCCTGGTAGCCGAGCACGTGCGTCGACACGTGCAGCGACACGCACAGCACTATGTGCACGGTGGACGACAGCACCAGAGTGGTGGGCGAGAGGATGCTGTTGTTGAGCGACGGCGCCTCCGAGCAGCGCGCGAGGTAGAGCACCAGCGTGGCGAAGGCGGTGGACAGCAACGGCGCTGGCAGGTACATGAGCACCCTGGACAACGGCTCGGGCAACGAATGGCCGAGGTTGTAGGCGTCGTAGAACAGGTGGAAACACCGGAGCGTGCAGACGGTGGTGAGGAGCAGGTGCACGGCGAGGAAGTACGACTGACTGAGCAGGTTGGTCGCCTCGTTGAAGCGCACAATCTTGTAGATCGAGAAGAGCGCCATGAGGGTGAAGGTGATGGCCGCAAAGTACACGTGCAACGACCAGGCGATCCGCCACGACTCCAGCGGGTTCTGCGTGTCCACGTGCGACACCAGCCGCTCGTCGTCGTCGCCGCCGCCGTCCGCGGCACCAGCGGCGCCGCTGCCACCGTTCGGTCGCTTGGACGTGGGCGCCGGCGGTTGCGCTTGCGGATAGGGTAACCTCTCCGTGTCCACAATCTCGATGCTGTCCGTCTTGAGGCCGTGGTCGTTGCGCAGGCCGCCACCGTGGTAGCCGCCGTCGTCGTCCTGCCGGCCGGTGTTGGGCAGATTGAAGATCGTCGGCTGCGTCACGCTCTTGGCCGCGTAGTCGGCAACGGTGCTGCCGCTGGGAGGGCTCTTGGGCGTGCTGCTGATGCTGATGCTGGGTGGCATCTGAGTGGTCCGGTCGGTCGTGGGCGCCAACGGCACGTTCGCCAACGGAGGACTTTTGGTGGCCAGCGGTTTCAGCAGTATATCGGGAATGTCCTGCTTCCTACCGTTGCTGCCGGACAGGATCCTCGAGATGCTCGGATAGTGGAGGGTCACGTACTCGGTGGTGTTGTTTCTCGCCGCCCGGTCGCCGTCGGCAGCCCCGGACTCTGCGGAGGAGGAGGAGGAGGAGGAGGCGGCTGGCCTCTGCTGCTCCTTGCCCGCTTGGCCGCCCGCCGATGACGGCTTGTTCCGCGAGTTTGAGTGCGAGTGCGAATGCGAGTGCGAGTGCCGCTCCGGCGCCTCCTGCGCCGGGCTCTGAGGTAGATCCGGCGGCCTTATGGGTATCCTCTCGTGCGCCGGAGTCAGGCTAGGCGGCGGCATCGGCCTCCTGTTGCCGGCGTGCACATCCGAGTTGGTGCCACGCAGCGTCGGCTTGTCGGCGAACGGGTGTAAGTACTCCCGGGGCAGGGGCGGCGTGAAGAGCGCCCTGGACGGCGGCGCGTACGACGGCATGTCGCGGAAGATGGGCGACGCGGTGGCTCGGGGCGCCGGGTACTTGGCCGCCGGCAACGACGGGCCAGCCGGCGTGGCGGCGGTGGTGCTGGTGCTGCTGGTGCTGCTGGTGGTCAACGGCGACGGCACCGTCGACAGGGTCGTGCTCGCCGAGACTTGAGCGTCGTAGGCTGGCACGCTGCGCTTCGTGGTCGCCGAGCTGTGCGCCACCTTGTTGAAGATTGCCGCCAGGTTCTTCTCCAGGGCGGTGTGGTCCAAGTTGAAGATCGGGCTGTTGGGCCCGCCGTCGCCGCTCGCCGTGCACGCGCTCCACTGACGGCACAGCAGCAGCGCCAGCAGAAGCGCCGGCAAGGACCGCATCCTTCTGGAGGTCATGACGACGCTCGACATCGTGCCGGGGGGGATGATCGCGGACACCTAGACGCCCTGTGCGGGCATCGGTTCATTCCATAACAGGCTCCTCCGCCGCTTCACCACGACCACCGCGACCAGAAGAGGGCGGGGGTTGGAGCCACCGTAAGGACACTTGTCGGGGTGACCAGTATTATCGAACGATCCGCCGTTCGATTATCCACTACTATATCTCCCTTTCTTTGTCTTCTCTCCTCGTCTCCGACTTGAGAGACTTTACTCTCGGGCTTTACTCACTCACTCTCTCTCTCTCTCTCTCTCTCTCTCTCTCTCTCTCTCTCTCTCTCTCTCTCCCCCCCTCTCTCTCTCTCTCTCTCTTTCTTACGTGGAATCCACGTGTCACATCTCCGGTCGGCAGTGCTCAGAGTTTGCTCCCTCGCGATGTCACAATGACATTCGCCGCGCGTCTTATGCTGATCCGCCAGTGCCTTCGCTCGCTGGGGGAGATTAGACGACAGCGTGTCTCTGCGGCGGTGCGCGATTCCGCGTGTGCATCTTCGCGACTGCCAGGCTGCGGACGAGTCCTCCTCCTCGTCGTCGTCGTCGTCGTCGTCGTCGTCGTCGTCGTCGTCGTCGTTGTCGTCGTCGTCGTCGTCGTCGTCTCCGCTCGCACTCTGGGATATCGCGATCCAATTTCTTCGGCCGATGCGGCGCGGCTCGCAAAACAAACGACCAGCAGCCGGACGACTAACGCGGAGTGTCCACACTACCGTGCTGCCGCATCCTTGTGAGCTTCCATTATATGCGCCGCCGGACGGGACGGCGAACGATCCAATAACGTCGGATTATTTCGCCGTGCTAACTTCGTTGCCGCCGCGCGGCGTTGTCCCCCGCGGTTCGCTCGCTCTTGAATCTATCTGGTCGCGCGGCCGAGAACGGCGACGACGCAGGACTTGTTAGGTGAGCTTGATCCGATATCGCTGCTGCTGCTGCTGCTGCTGCTGCTGCTGCTGCTGCTCGGAGCCATCCCAGATTCGCGAGAGCCTCGGCCGGAACGTAAATGCCCGTGGGGACATTTAACGCGCCCAATTGCCCTGCGCACCGCTAGTCCTGCCCGGCGCGGCCTCGCGCAATTACCGTGTCGATTTCTTTCTCATCGGCGCGCTCGTCCGTTGGTCTGCTCGCTTCCTCGGTACCTGCGAAGGATATTCTGTCGTCAATATGGGAAGGCCTGTCTCCGCCCCGCAGCGAGAGCGGAGGGAACCCGGAAGAGGGTCCGAGGTGCTTTCCTCGCCGGATAGATATTAGATGAGCGCAACAGTTTTCGGGCTTCTCGAGGGTGTCGCGAGACTCTCACGGCGGCTGTTGCAAGTACGCGCGATGTGTAACGCGGCAAGGTCGATGGAGAAGTGCAATGGCGTACTACTTGGCGGAATGAGTCGATGGTTTTTCAGCAAATTGCTCGGTCCACTTTTCCATCGCGAAACCCATCCAAACTTTTGCACTCACCCGCCACCACGAGAGTCCTACAGTCTGCAAGCTGCCCTTCTCCCCCCCCTCCTGCGCCCTACCTATCATTCGTTCATCAACTTTTTGACGAGTTCTTCCGGCTGATACACACAGAAGGGATACTCGAACCAGAACTCTATACCGCCGGTCTTTGCCTATCTATTTCCGTCTCTTTCTCTTCTTCTATCTGTCTGTCTGTCTGTCTGTCTGTCTGCGGGGGGAGAAAAATGTTTGCCCGAGAGTGAAAGAATTTTCCGGGGTGAAATATATGAACGACGCGGATATTCCGGTTCGAGTTGTCGAAATCATCCAGTCTGGATCATTCAGAGAGAGCTTTTCCGGTCAATTTTCAATTGGAACTTTTGAGTCGTTCGTATCTTCGTACGGAAGAGACCGCTCCGTGTTCGCGCGCCGCCATATTTTCGTCGGCGACTCACAAAGTTGTTGGTCCTTTCTCAGGACCTGGCGGTACTCTCTGGTCGCGCGATGGGACGATCTGGTTACTTTGCGTAAAAATGTCTCGCCCTTCTCTTCTCCTTCACCGGAAGGAGCGGGGAAATCGGAAGCCACGGTCGACGCGCGGAAGGGGAGGAGGTCCTCTCGCTTCCGCCTCGGGAACGGGGTGACTCGGATCAAGGATGCCTCCTGACAACGTCGGTGAGTCGTCAATTAAGGGGACTGCAGGGTCAGATTACTGAAAAATCGTGCTTGTTTTTTGATAATATTTTGCGACGAACTAAATAAATGTGCAAGAATGAAAATTTTTGACATATTTATACAACATATGAAGAGTAGAAAAATTTTGTTTATTAACAAATACTTTCACAAATATAGGTCCATTTAAATTTTAAATGCGTTTCTCTCGAAATTTTATTCTTCAACTTTTTGCAGTGATTTCTCCGAAACTGAGCTTCGTATCGATTTGAAATTTTAAAGCAATAATATTTGTTCATCTGGCTCTTAGGTGAACCATGGACAACTCCGTCAAAATATTTCATTTCGAGATATTAATTTTTTTATTGTAAAGGAATTGAAAGATTTGAATCTTTTCCTAATAATAGCTGCCATTTTGTTAATTTTGTTCGATTTTTTTTATAGTGCTTCACCAGATAATGATAAGCCTCCTTAAAATTTCTAGCTGAAATTCGCTCTGATCGGACCACCGAGAGCCGCGAGATATTACTGCAAAAACAACTTGAAAAAAAAAAAGGAGAGTATATTTCAGCTATATATATCGTATATTTATACGAGTATTTGTTGATAAACAAAAATTTTCTACTCTTCACTTATTATATAAATACACCTATAATTTTCATTCTTGCACGTTTATTCAGTTCATCGCAAAATATTATCAAAAACAAGCACGATTTTTCAGCAATCTGACCCTCCAGTCCCCTTAAGCGTGTAAAAATACGCGCCATGTCGGCGAGCGCGTCCGCAAACACGTGACGTTAGCCACGTTTCATTAATTCGCATGTTAATATTATTAGCCTGCAGAAATATGCGCGCGCGTGTGCGGATCATAATTATGGATTATTCGTAAATACTATTATTTATCATTATTAAGTTAATTAAGTCCGCCATCGAGGCCGGTGACCACCGGCGGCTGGTAATTCGCCGGCGGTAATTGATCGTAAAGCGATCCGAAAGCGGCCGGTCGCTCGGCAGGCGGGGGGAGGGTGAGGGGGGAGGAAGGAGGAGGTGGACGAGGCCGCGGGCTTCTTTGTGCGTGGGATACCTTAGACGAGCAACGGCGAGAAGTCGTACAAAAGGCTCGCGCGTCGCTTCTCTTCGTGGCGAGAGGCACCCTCGGGAAATTGATTGACCAGGTAAGACGCGCGGATGAGTCACGTCGCGGCGACGGCGACGGCGACGTCGAGGGGAGTGAGCATCGATTTCTCCGGCCGCTATCTCATTCTTGTCCGCGAACGAAATTTAACAACGTATCTCCCGCAGTTCCGCGCGTGCGCGCCTTGCCGAAAGGCAAATCTCATCTCCAAATTTCACAATAGGGCGGGCAATTTTTCGCTCGTTTGTTTATTTACGATACACAAAAGCGCCGCATGACGATGCGCTACGACGGGGCCGAGCATGTGATTATGACCGGGCAAGCCTCTCGCACGTTTCTCCCGGTCGTCCCGAATCACTCAACGGGTTGAAGAATGACTCTCAGGGTTCCATTCAGAGACTGTCCTATGTGACAGTTTCCCGGAATGGTTTCAACCTGGCAGCCGGACGTATGGAAGTTAAAACCCCTTCGGGCTTCGTGTTCGCAGTAGGACCTTACGCTTAATCATCTCGAGTTTATCTTCAGGTACTTCGCAGCCGATAAAGTGCAATCACCAGGGGCTCGGCAAAGCGCGCGACTTTCGACCACTTCGTGTTTACACGGTGAGAGCGAAATTACCCTCAACGGGGATACACCGAATAAAACGAAGCAAAGTAGGGAGCTAATTGGGAGCAAAGTTTCCCGACGGATTTGCTGTTACAAGGGAAGAACATTATCGAGAGAAAAGATGTTTGGACACGAACGCGAGGAATGTTGGCGGGAGATTCAAGGAAATGATGTCGAGGGATACACGCCAAAGCGTGTATACACGCCCGCAGCGGTGAAAAGGTTGAGCCAAGTTCAAAGTATCCCTACAGGTAGTTGAAACTTGAGCTGGCCTTCCATGCAAGACTAAAAATGATCAAACGTGTCTCCGAATCCAGAGATGTCGTTAGTCTCTTCTTGCATGCTATTGTCACACGCTGCGACTAATCCAAGCTCGTCGTTTTGTCCGAGACGGCGAGGCGACGGAGGAAGCTGGAGCCAATCGTGCGTGTCAGCTTCCTCGTGCGAAATTGCCCTCGGTCGCCCTGCCCCCCCCCCCCCCAGATTGCGCTGGCCCGCAGAGACGCGGCCGCGAAATGTAAATACGTGACGCGCGAGCGCTTTGAGCGCGCCGGACAACGCCTCGCCCGGGTGAAAAACGGGCGAAAGGCTATTTGTCTCTTTTTTCACGGTGTGCGCGGTTTAAAATATTCGTTGCATGCGGCAACTTACGTGCAACCTGGATTTTCGAGCCCCTCCCCCCGCCCCCGCCGCCACGCGATTCTATCGATCAAGTCGCGCAGCGACGGGCGCTTTGACACGCGGCGCGAGATTGTCGCAAAAATGAATCGCCGGGATCAACACGAGCCGGCGAAATTAGTTTTCGCCGACGGTCGCGCGCGCTGCTTTGTCCGCCACATGCGCGCTCTGCTCTCGTTACTCCCTCCCCCCACCCCGCCCCCTCGCCTGGCTGCTCTTCGTTTCCCACAAAGTCGCGGAGTGAATTCTGCGAGGAGGAAACGAACGAGAATGAGCGGCCGCAGATCCGTCGGACAGGACGAATCTTCCGGACGGGATACAAAGGCATCCTCTTGCGATCGGAGTCGAAGCAGCGAAGCGGGGAATCGCTTCGCTCGAGTAAACATTTCTCTCCGGGGCGGCCCGCGACCGCCGCCCACCGTTGTCATCATCATCATCGGCCGCGCCGCGCCTTATCGGCTGTGATTCAGCGGCCGGTTGCTTTAATTCGGCAAACACGCGCACGCCCGTCCCATCGGGTTTGCGTCCCATCTGTGTCCTTCCCCTCCCTCCACCCCTCCCCTTTGTCCCGTTTGTCCTGGAGCCGTCGAATCGCGCGCGATCGCGGCCGCCGCCGCTGCAGCAACACTCAAAGCCCGCGGGCGGTTTGCTCTCGATGGCAGTCGATTAAGCCGAAATCAATGCGACTAATAGCGGCCGCGCGATCTGTTAAGGGCCGGGGACGACTGGACGAGTCGAGTCGCACTCAGTCTCGCTTAACACACGGCGACTGCGAATAACTCCGACCACCTCTCTCCGCACCCCTCGGCTTAGCTTAATTAATTACGGCGCCGCGCCGAGGCGGCGTGCGTGCGTTCGTTCGTTCCCTCATACACTGAGAAAAAAATTGTATTAAAATTCAACAAATCTTTGGTAAATATATAGAAAAGGGTACACCTCACCGATTTTTTTCATTTTGAAATATGTTATAAGGGATGAAATTCTGAGTGACTTTTCCTAATACAATTATATGGGTGTCGCTTATAGTTTCTGAGATATTTGACTTTATAGTTTTATAATTGTACGTTAAAGTATATTTGAAGTAGACAAGTAGTTTTCATTCACTTTAAATATAGGAAACTTATTGCGTCTTTATATATTGTTGATCGATATTGAAAAGATCTCTTTAAAAGCCACAACACCTAATTATATGCAGATATTGTAATAAGTTAAGTTGAGCCAGAATCAAATATCTCAGAAACCATAAGCGACCCCATATAATTGTATTAGAAAAAGTCACTCAGAATTCTTTATATCATATTTCAAAATCATCCTTTATAACATATTTCAAAATGAAAAATCGGTGAGATGTACCCTTTTCTATATATTTATCAAAAATTGTATTGAAACTCTACAAATCTTTGTTCGAATACTGTGAATACATTTATTTGGTAAAACTTTAGAATAGGGGCTTTTCCGAATTTTGATATTTATTTGTTACTCTCATGGTAACAGTTTTTGTTGTGACTCCGACAGTGATAATCAATCGGGGGAGCCTGAAGAAAATGTTATCCACTTATTTTTTGAACAATTTTTTTGGTAAATATTCAGAAGTATTATTATACCAAAAACTAC